CAATGCTGGTCATCACTGCACTACTGCCAATTAGTGTACTGCTGCTAATTACTGCACTACTGGTCATTGCTGCCTTTCACAGGTGCCTTCGACAGGCAATGACCAGTACTGCACTACTGGTCATCACTGCACTACTGCCAACTGCTGCACTACTGCCAATTGCTGCACGACTGCCAATTACTACAGTACTGCCAATTGCTGCACTACTGCCAATTACTGCACTAGTGCCAATTGCTGCACTACGGCCAATGACTGCAATACTGGTCATTACTGCATTACTGCCAATTAGTGCACTACTGCTAATTACTGCACTACTGGTCATTGCTGCCTTTCACAGGTGCCTTCGACAGGGTTGCCAATTACTGCACTAGTGCCAATTGCTGCACTACGGCCAATGACTGCACGAAAACTCTCAGGGCAGAAGTATGATGACAACTTGAAGATCGGTACACTGCTGAAAGGAATTCCACAGCACCTCAAGCAGCACGTGATGGTTGATATCACTGACAAGACCACGTATGAAGAGTTGAGAGCAAAGCTGCTACAATATGAAAGAAGCAATCAGACATGGTCAGCTGAAAACATTTTAGGATCACTGAGTGTTCCAGACCCAACGTCACACTCAAGCAACAAGGCTTACCAAGGACCACTTCCAATGGAAGTTGATAGATTGCACATGAGAAAAGGAAAGGGAGATGGAAAAGGAAAAGGTGACAAAGGAGGAAAAGGAAGCCCCTACGGAAAAGGAAAAGGAGACAAAGGAAAGGGCAAAGGATATGGATACGGAAGAGGAAAAGGTGGTAGAGGAAGACCGAAAGGAAAAGGAAAAGGAATGGCTCAAGTTTTCGGCTCGAGTGCCACCTGTGGTGGCCGTAGGGAGTGCTGTGTTAACGGGCTTGGGGCTTTCAACCTGCTTTGCTACCAGGTCCGAGGCCCTCACAATCCCAGCTTTAGCTTCCCTTTGAGCCATAGTGCCCTGGCTTGGGAGTGGCTTCCACCCCTTGCTTTTCGTGAGGCTGCAGTGGACAGGGTCCGCCCTCCACCTTGACCGGCCGGAAGACAGCAAGGAAGTGAGCAATCACTCCTTAGCCATGGGCCAGAAGCGCCAGTACTTCGTCTGCAAGTGCGGGGCGTGGACGTGGGCAGACAAGGTGCACAGCAACCCTTACTACTGCCAGTGCGGCAAGAAGTGGCCGGCGCCTGCTCTGAAGCAGAACGGCAGCCCGCGCCCACCGAAGTCCCTCACCTTCCCCTCCGCGTGGCCCCGACCGCAAGGAAAGGCGCGAGGAAGAACGCCGCCTCAAACCTGCGGTCACGACCATCTGGGATCAAATCCCGGAAGAGGCACGATCGCGCCTCACACAAGCGGGATGGAAAGGACCTCCCAAGCAGAAGGATGCGGTCGAGTCCCAGACCGACCCTCTCCTGAGCCTGCTCGTGCAGCGCCAGGATGAGTTGCCGGAGGATATCCGCACGGCGCTTGTGGAGGCGACCACGGGTCCGGAACCGTCTCCGGGAGAAAAGGCCATGCAATCCAACAAGGATTTCACCAAGGCCAGCTCCCGCCTCTGAGTGCTGATCCACAAGAAGATCAAGCTGCTCGAGCTCCGCCTGCAGCTGCAGGAGCTCCAGGAGACGACCGAGAAGATCCACGAGGCCGAGAACGCGGTGGAAAAGGCCAAGCTTGGCCTGACCCTTTCTGACGAGCAGCAGGAGAAGCTGGCCGAGTACCGCGCCAAAGCCAAGAAAAGGCAAAGGCCTCCCGGGGCTGCCGGCTTTCCACCTCGGCTTGCAAGGCACGCAAACAGTAGCAGGGAGCCAATTCGTTGCCAGCCGTACCCACCGGCCCAGCCGGTCAGCCCAAGGGGGCTGAGGGTGCACCCGGGCGTCAGCGAAGCCGCACTCCCCCGAAGAACAGCGAGAGCCAGGCCGGCGAGGAGGAGAAAAGCAACAAGCACGTCACAGAGTAGGGAGTGAGCCTCCAGGGCGGACCAGGGAGTGGAGGTGGAGCCCTGCCCTCAGTGGATAACTGTGTTAGTGGCCCCAGGTTCTTTCTTTCACAATCTCGCGTGGCTTCGCCACAGAAGTTTTTAACCGACTCAAAGGCGACCTTCCCCTCCCATGTTTCGAGAATGGGAATGTGGAGGCCACTCCCAGGGTGGAGATGCTCCACTTCCGGCGTCCCTGGTGCAGGTATGAGCCGCAGCACCTAGGCAACCGCCGGAGCCGTCACTTTCTCCACAGGCACGCCGGATCCGCAGATCCAACGCCATGTTTTGGGCAACATGGCAGCCCCCTACGGGCGACAGCCCTGCAAAGGCCCAGGTCCCGAGACACCGAGCCCAGCTCTGCTTGCAGGATGTGGTGACCACTGTTGGGGGTCCCCCCCAGGGCAAGGGTTACTCACGAGGCGGCATGCCTCAAACTCTGCCGACTGCCTCACGGGATGCTTGCAATGCTCAGGAGTGGCCCGAGGGAAGACGGCCACTCAGGACTCCGAGCGGCCATCGACCCAGCCGCACACGGGGCAGTGCTCCCCCGGTGGAACAGGCGCCTCAGAGCAAAACCAGGGTCACCAGGGAGGGCCCGGCGCCCAGTTGCCTCGGTCACGCCCTCACCGCTCCAGCCCATTGCTGAGCAGCTCGCCTCAGCTTGCACTGAGGCAATGAGCCTCGAGGATGCCGAGGAGGCTATCGTGGCCTTCGGCGGCAGCCTCGCATACCGCCTCGGTTGGGACCTCCTTGATGGCCTCCAAGGATCGGGGTGGTTGGATCCCCCGCTAGCGGCCGCATTTGCCAACGACATCGCCGCTCAGGGAGCCATTTCCCCTGCCAACCCCATCCACATCACAAGCGCCAACGTGACCACCTGGAAAAAGGAACTGCTAACTTGGCACCCGGCCACGAAGGGAGTCCTTGCGCTGCAGGAATGACGCGGGCCTCACTCAGCTCCGCATCGAGGCTGCAAAGTGCCGCTTCCATCTCTTCACGCCGCCAAAGGGCGATCGTCCCTACCCCACTCGAGGTGGCATTGGCCTCTTGGTCCCCGCCAACATGCAGGGTCAAGCCTGTGGTGGCATGATCACGGAGGCGATGGACCCTCATGGTCGTCTGCGTGTACCTTCAAAGCGCAGTGGGAATCCACGCAGGTTGCAACCCGGAAGTCCTCGCGGCCCTCAGGCCGCGCTCCGCGAATTCCGCAACTGGATTGTGGTTGGAGACTGGAACGCGGCTCCCTCCGAGTTTCAAGGCACCTCATGGGCCGAGACTGTGGGAGGGGCCCTTCTTGCACCTGAGGGTCCGACCATAAACACGGGCAACACCCTCGACTACGCCCTTTTATCGAGGCCGCTGGTGTCTTTGACCAGCGTAAAGACGGTGTGGGAGGTTCCCTTCTCGCCCCACGCCGCGGTCTCCTTCACCCTCAACGTCCAACATGGTCTTGTGTCGTTGCCTCAGCTAGCCGGCTACCAAGGGGCCCTGCGGGATGAAGTGGCTCCTGCCGACCCGGCTTTTGTTGCCCCCGGTCTGGGGAAGATCGGGGCCGAACCTATCCGGTCGCGGGCATCACCGCCGGGATGGCGGCACGACATTTCACCAACGAAGGAGGGCTCGAGAGGCACCAACAACCCCCTCCAGCACAAGCCCCTCATGCAGCAAGACTGGTCCTACCCGTGGAGGGGCCACATAGCTGCTTTCTGGAGTCGACTGGCCTCCTTTTGGGAGCACCCGAAGAAGCACCTCCGGAGAATTGAAACGTTGGTTGGCAACCGGAGGCGGTGGAAGCGACCACCCTCCACCTCACAAAGCAAGGGATTGAGGCCTCCTCTCCCCAGGACTTCCTCTGTGCCCTCGGGGCGGCGGAGGATGGCCGATCGTCAACCCTTGCAGTGGTCCGACAGCTCCGCGACGAGGAGCATCAACGGGCCCGGAAGGCTGAAGCCGACGCGGTGGCCGAATGGCTCGTGCTGGGCACCCGGCGTGGCATGCGACCGCTTTTTCGCTGCCTATCCAAAGCTGAAACCAACGTGGGGAGGCCTTTCACTGAAGTGACAGCTGAGTCTCGACCATATGAGCGACTCAAGTACTGGGCCACTCTGTGGCAAGCCCGGGGAAGTCCACCCCCCTACCTCCCAGAGCTTCGCCAACGAGCCGTTGAGCAAGCCAGGCAGCTGCCCGCTGTTCACGGGGCGACAAATGTATCGGTACATCCGCTCGATGCCGTGTAAGGCCCCTGGGCTCGACGGATGGGATGTGCCTTTCCTGAAATCCCTCTCCATCGAGGAAGTGCACACCCTCGCAGACCTCTGGAGGGAGGTGGAGCTGGAGGGCGTTTTACCACACCAAGCCTCCTTTACCCAGTACGTCATGCTCCCTAAAAACGAGAAGGTGGAAAGGCCAATCGGCCTGATGTCCACCTTCCTGAAATTAGGCATCAAGTGCCGATGGGAGCTCGCTAGCTCCTGGATCGAGGCCAACCGGGCCTCTTTGTGGTGGGATTCGGCCCTGCCTTCCCGCAGCACCCACGATGCATCCCTGCGACGCGCGTTTCTGTACGAAGCGTGCCGGGTGGACAAGGTGCACCGTTGCACCATTTTCTTCGATTTGAGCACATTTTATGAACGCGTGAGCCACGAAAAGTTGTGTGAAGAAGCAGCCCAATGGGGCTTTCCGCCGCTTCTCCTCAACTAAGGGATGCAAGCCTATCGTGGCGGTCGCATCGTGACTGCCGACTCCGTCGCATCACCATGCGTTTTCGCAGCGCGAGGAATAGTAGCGGGTTGTCCGCTGGCTCCTCTCCTATCGAAAGAGACTGGTACGCCGTGGCGGCGTGCATTTTCGAGGAATCCCGTGTTTTTTCTCGAGTTTTAATAGATGGTTTTACTGCTGCGAAAGCTGTCTAGCTCCACTAAACTCAGGACCGAAAAGGACATGCACGCAATTCTTCATCTCTACCATTCGCCCCTAACACGCCGCATATCAAGATCAGGATAAACGGTTATAAGAACATTCGTTGCGGATATTATCTACATGCAGACCTAGCCCATACATATGTGTGTATGAATATAGGTATGTAATTATGTCAATATGTCAATGTGTATATGCAGACTGACATGTCGCATAGGAGTACATGTGTGCTCCTGCATGGATGCAACTATACATCCACATTTTCTGATTCTAACTCTGTACGAGCATGTAAAATCATACGATACATACATATATCTAAAGAGAGTAGGACCCATTACAGGCCCATATTTGTATGTGCATACTAATGTTGACTTGCAACTTCTTGTATATATCATGTCTTGCACTGGGGAATGAAATTGTGGCATAGGCTGCAGCATACCGCATCTGAAGTCGTGGGAAACGGGATATCTAAATTCCGACAGGTGTCAAGCTTTAAGGGGCTTTCCACCTTTGAAAGAGTTTTTGGGTTTGCCACCCGTCATTTCTTCAGTTCACTGAAGCATTTGATTGAAAGTGCAACATCTCCTAAGCTGCGTGTATTTGGGAAAACAGTGACCGATTTGAGGATCCAGTTGTGGTTCCGCCACTCGTCGAACTCCTCAGGGGCATTGGCCCATCACATCCTTGTCTGGCCTCGGTTTCGGCCAAATATCTTCCAGTAGAGTTTGGATGCTCTGGACACACATCATCCTTTTGGGTACTTGGGTTTGCTAGTCACCATATATCTTTATTGGATAAATGTCGCCCGTGATATGTGCCAAAATTTTCAGACTCTGGCCTTCTTTTTTCCGGTGTCCCTATTGTGATTTGCAGTTCTGGCAGGGAGCCACACCTTTTAGGGATTGGCTTTCGGTGTAATTGGGCATGTTTTGCAGTCGTTCTATTTAAAACCTCTTGTTCGCGATCATTCACCCAATTACGAGTAAATTACCTATCTCCGTGATGCACGGAAAGTCGTGTGTGTATGTATGTATGTATGTATATATTTAAACTCATCCGCCCATGATACCCTTCCAAGGCTCCAGTTTAGATTGAAAGTGTAACTGCATTAGTCTCCCCGGTTACATAGACAGGTACTCGCATGTACATCACATAAAATTCCTCGACATATATATATATATATAAAGACATGTATTTATACACACATATCTGTGTGTATGTATGCATGGGCTTCCAAAGTGCACGAACTTGCATGCGTATGGTATAGGTATGCATGAGCTTCCACAGTGCATCGTGTGTTTCTGTCTAAACGTATATTTGTGTATGTAGCTGTATATATGTACAGGTATGGAGGCCGTGCTTACGCACAGACTTGATATTCGCCATCCTTCACCCACCATGCCGCTGCGGGATTTGGGATAGGAGCCTGAGGCCGTCCATTTTCTTGTTTGAGCCTGTAGCTGCCTAAATGCCTACCCGTTGCATATACATATGTTTGCATGTATATTCCGGAAACAATGCACATGTTTCCGTGATACATATATATATATATATATGTACCCATGTATGTATATATAGTATACATATATGTATGTGTTTATAAGCTTTGGAAAGGCATGAGCATGTGGGTATGTACACATACACATCCATATGTAGGTGTGTATGTATGTCTGCATGTATATATCAAACCTATACACATATATCAACATGTATATACACATATATACATATATATATATGTAGGTATAAACTAACATCTGTCTACCAAGGTTGGCTTGTAGGTAAGCATCTATGTTCCACCCCAAATGTCACAAGTATGTTGTGGCTTGCAACTTATCTTTCATTGTCCGAGCTTGCGGATGAGGGCCCAACATTTTGTACGATGTTTTGGAATGTTGGAAGCCAAGCATGACTTTCAGTGTAGGGTTGTGGGTTCGCCACCCGTCATCTTCTTAGACGGTTTGGACCATCATAATTGAGGGTGTCGAGACCAGGTCACCATGAGTCGAGGTACAAGGACGTCATTCCCATCGTACTTTTTAACGTGTAGAATGTACTACCCATCATACTTTTGTCATGTATAAGTGTCATCCGTAAGTAATGTCACCGTTTTCAGGTGTGGGAGCCGCTTTCCCAGTGGTGGACAAGAATATCACGCGTAATCTTGTTCATGGAGGGATGTTTCATTTGATAGGATAGGATTGGTGGCACACTGGAAAGCTTGAGATGATCGCGTAGTGCGGGAACTGGAATGCCAAAGGCCGAAGGCCCCAGACATACCCTGCTTACCTCCGGATGTCCGTCCATAAGGTCCTGCCTGCGGGGGGGGGGGGGGGGGGGCCCAAAAAAAAAAAAAAAAAAAAAAAAAATACCAGAGAGCAGCCCACCAATTTTTTTTTTTTTTTTTTTTTTTTTTTTGCGCCCCCCCCCCCCCCCCCCGAGAGGCCTCCAGGCCTCCATGCCCACAGCCACACCTTAAGGCCGTGCCCTCATGCCCTCCACCTCCGGGATCTCTTTTGAGCGATTGTCCTGTACTTTATCTCTCGGGCAAGTATTCGGTCAAGTCAATGGTTTCGTAGAAACTCAAAGTAACAATTCACAACACGTCGTATTTGTATGCATCTAAAACAATGTGGTTGGAAGTGAAAAGCTTGCTAAGCTTGCCATCTGCGAACGCAGGTGAAAACATGAACACACGAAAATACACGCCGCCAGGGCGTACCATACTGTATCGAAACTATCGATAGGCAAGCCCATCAGGGCTGCTTGTACAGGCACCCTGGCGGACTTCGTAGGATGTTGGGTGGACGACGTCTCGGCCGATGTCGTTCATATCACCCTCTTCCGCCGTCTCCACAACGCGTTGGAGGCTGAGGGCAATGAGGTGTCTGCCTCAAAGACACATTTCCTGGCTAGCTCACCGGAGGCGGAACGCGCGCTCCACCGAAAACTGGGGAAGGACGACCCCCCGGTGCGCCAAACCACAAAGGATCTCGGCATGGAAACGGCAGCCGGGCGACGCCGCACTACCTTCCAATCGGCGGCGCTTGAAGGCCAACCGGCGATTCGCGAAGCTCCAGTCTCTCCGCTTGCCGGCCCTCAGGGTCCGATCCAGGCTTTTCTCCATGAGCGTCATGGCGTCGGGAAACTGGGGACAGGGGGTGTCGCCCAAGGTCATGCAGAGCCTCCGTCAGGTGTCTAGGAGGGTGCTGACCGGCAGTGTGGAGGTTGCGCTCGAACTTGGGGGCCCCAACAAAAGACCCGCGTACCTCCATCATCGCCCAGCACTGGGCGGCCCTCGGCAAAGTTTATGCGCGCTGCCGGACCGCGAGCAGCTGGAGCGCACGTGGCACTCCCTCTGGGCGCAGCTCCAGCGGAAGGACCGGTGGAAGGTCATATGCGGGCCGGTGGGCGCCATGATCGGATACCTGGTGGAACTGAGGGTCGAGGCCTCCTCCCCTCACCGTTGGCTCTTCCCGGCACACCTGTGTCCCGCCACGACGGCGGCGCCTGGACGTGGTGCTCCAAGGGGCAGCAGGGCCAGACACACTGCCAGCAGTGTGGGAAGAAGTGGCCCACCCCGCCGGCTCCGGCTCGACAGCAGCCCAGGAGCCCCCAGAAGCACCCTAAGTCTCCGTCCTCTTCCCCCTCTCCTCAGCGCGGCCCCGACCGCAAGGAAAGGCGCGAGGAAGAACGCCGCCTCAAACGTGCGGTCACGACCATCTGGGATCAAATCCCGGAAGAGGCACGATCGCGCCTCACACAAGCGGGATGGAAAGGACCTCCCAAGCAGAAGATGCGGTCGAGTCCCAGACCGACCCTCTCCTGAGCCTGCTCGTGCAGCGCCAGGATGAGTTGCCGGAGGATATCCGCACGGCGCTTGTGGAGGCGGGGGAGAAAAGGCCATGCAATCCAACAAGGATCTCACCAAGGCCAGCTCCATCCACAAGAAGATCAAGCTGCTCGAGAGCATAGAGGAGGCGAAGGAATCCCTCCGCCTGCAGCTGCAGGAGCTCCAGGAGACGACCGAGAAGATCCACGAGGTTGAGAACGCGGTGGAAAAGGCCAAGCTCGAGCTCACAAAGGCTGTGAACCGGGGTACAGGACGTGCCAGACACTCCTGAGCCAATGGATGTGGACGAACTGTTCACCATCCTTGGCCTGACCCTCTCTGACGAGCAGCAGGAGAAGCTGGCCGAGTACCGCGCCAAAGCCAAGAAAAGGCAAAGGCCTCCCGAGGTTGGTGCACCGCCGGGGTTGCCGGCTTTCCACCTTGGCTTGCAAGGCACACAGCCAACAGCCCAGCAGGGAGCCAACCCCCTGCCAGCCCCGGCCCAGCCGGTCAGCCCAAGGGGTCTGCGGGCGTCAGCGACGCCGCACTCCCCCGAAGAACGGCGAAAGCCATGCCGGCGAGGAGGAGAGCAACAAGCACAGCACAGAGTAGGGAGTGAGCCTCCAGGGCGGACTAGGGAGTGGAAGTGGTTTTCCCACTCCAACACCCGCCGACGAGGGAGGCCACAACACCCCTGATGATTTTGTTCAGCCGGCTCGTCGCAACCGCCAGTTTTGCAGACAACGATCTGGAGCCCTGCCCTCAGTGGATAACTGTGTTAGTGGCCCCAGGTTTTTTCTCTCACAATCTTGCGTGGCTTCGCCGCAGCAGAACAGGCGCCTCAGAGCAAAACCAGGGTCACCCAGAAAGGGCCCGAAAACGGCGCCCAGTTGCCTCGGTCACGCCCTCACCGCTCCAGCCCATTGCTGAGCAGCTCGCCTCAGCTTGCACTGAGGCAATGAGCCTCGAGGATGCCGCGAGGAGGCTATCGTGGCCTTCGGCGGCAGCCTCGCATACAGCCTCGGTTGGGACCTCCTTGATGGCGGGGTGGTTGGATCCCCCGCTAGCGGCCGCATTTGCCAACGACATCGCCGCTCAGGGAGCCATTTCCCCTGCCAACCCCATCCACATCACAAGCGCCAACGTGACCACCTGGAAAAGGGAACTGCTAACTTGGCACCCGGCCACGAAGGGAGTCCTTGTGCTGCAGGAGTTGCACCTCAATGACGCGGGCCTCACTCAGCTCCGCATCGAGGCTGCAAAGTGCCGCTTCCATCTCTTCACGCCGCCAAAGGGCGATCGTCCCTACCCCACTCGAGGTGGCATTGGCCTCTTGGTCCCCGCCAACATGCAGGGTCAAGCTTGTGGTGGCATGATCACGGAGGAAGGCTGCGGCTACGTGGCGGTCGCCCTCCCGCGCCTACGATGGACCCTCATGGTCGTCTGCGTGTACCTTCAAAGCGGAGCGGGAATCCACGCAGGGTGCAACCCAGAAGTCCTCGCGGCCCTCAGGCCGGCACTCCGCGATTTCCGCAACTGGATTGCGATTGGAGACTGGAACGCGCCTCCCTCCGAGTTTCAAGGCACCTCGTGGGCCGAGACTGTGCAACATGGTCTTGTGTCGTTGCCTCAGTTAGCCGGCTACCAAGGGGCCCTGCGGGATGAGATGGCTCCCGCCGACCCGGCTTTTGTTGCCCCCGATCTGGGGAAGATTGGGGCCCAACCTATCCGGTCAAATCCCCTGACCTGCCGTTTCGCGGGCATCACCGCCGGGATGGCGGCACGACATTTCACCAACGAAGGAGGGAGAGGCACCAACAACCCCCTCCAGCACAAGCCCCTCATGCAGCAAGACTGGTCCTACCCGTGGAGGGGCCACGTAGCTGCTTTCTGGAGTCGACTGGCCTCCTTTTGGGAGCACCCGAAGAAGCACCTCCGGAGAATTGAAACGTTGGTTGGCAACATGCCACCGGAGGCCGTGGAAGCGACCACCCTCCACCTCACAGAGCAAGGGATTGAGGCCTCCTCTCCCCAGGACTTCCTCTGTGCCCTCGGGGCGGCGGAGGATGGCCGACCGTCAACCCTTCAGCTCCGCGACGAGGAGCATCAACGGGCCCGGAAGGCTGAAACCGACGCGGTTGCCGAATGGCTCGTGTTGGGCACCCGGCGTGGCATGCGACCGCTTTTTCGCTGCCTAGCCAAAGCTGAAACCAACGTGGCGAGGCCTTTCACTGAAGTGACAGCAGAGTCTCGACCATATGAGCGACTCAAGTACTGGGCCACTCTGTGGCAAGCCCGGGGAAGTCCACCCCCTACTTCCCAGAGCTTCGCCAACGAGCCGTTGAGCAAGCCAGGCAGCTGCCCGCTGTCACGGGGCGACAGATGTATCGGTACATCCGCTCGATGCCGTGCAAGGCCCCCGGGCTCGACGGATGGGATGTGCCTTTCCTGAAATCCCTCTCCATCGAGGAAGTGCACACCCTCGCAGACCTCTGGACGGAGGTGGAGCTGGAGGGCGTGTTGCCACACCAAGCCGTACCTCGTGACGAGGAACGAGTTACGACTATGTGTGCTAGCTTACCTATTACTACTCGAAGCTATCGAAGGTAGCTTCGCTAGAAACGAAGTTTCGTTCGCTATCGTCGCTCGCAGGAGAGTTGCCTCTGACATGCGAAGACAGGATAGCTGTGACTTGGAATGGCTACGACGGTGTGTGACCGTGGCCATTCTGGATAAAGTCCCCCATCAGGGGGGGTAATTTTGAAGTAGCCATTTTGGCTCAAGTCCCCCATCAGGGGGGGTAATTTTGAAGTAGTGGGGGATAGAAGGGGAACTTGGCTATTTAGCCAAGCGAGAATGGCCTCCCCGCGCTCCCCTTCTGCTTCGCGGACGGCTAGCCCACAGTCTCCAGCTACTACGGTGATTCCGGCTAGTCCTGGAGGCGAGGAGCCAGGGAGTCCAACCGTCTTGCCCACGGCTGTGCCGGAAGAGCAGGGCGTTGGACCGGCTACCCCCTCCGGAGGGATAGGGAGCCCCATCGGACTTCCGTCCTTGCGGGATAGCGCTCTTGTGCAGAAGCGTGCGGTGCTGGATAGATGCCATGAGCATCTGGCGTCGCGGGGCTTCGGTGTGCTCGAGCTGGCTACCCTCAGCCTAGAGGACGCGGAGGATATTGGGCACCAAGTGGCCGAGGAGCTGGGCGTTGGCTACGACGAGTACATCGGCGACTCGATCTACCTGTGGATACAAGAGGCCCGGGAAGCTCGGGACCTGGTGGAGAGAACGTCGGGATACAGGGCGACTTCGCTAGCGTGGGTTAACCTCAGCAAGCGGCCGGCGATCGAAGGCATCGACCTTCAGGAAGATAGCGAGCCGGAGCCCCCGAAAGGGGATAGGCAGAAGCGCTTGGTCAACGAGGGCTCCCTGGCGCAGGCTAGGGAAGAAAGGCTACAAGCAACCTGGGCTATCAAGCTCAAGGAAGAGCTAGAATTGTGCGAGGCGCCGGTGCTGAAGAAGCTACAGGGGTGCCTGGACCCGGATAGAGCGGTGTTGGCGCTAGCGGGGAAAACCCGGGCTAGCACTCTCAAGCGCTACGTCTCGATACACGTGAGATGGCGGCTATGGCTACGGGAGGCTAAGAGTGGACGCCCCCCTGGGCTACCGGCCGACCTGGCCGACTACATCATGGCTAGGGGCGACGAGCCCTGCGGGCGAACGGTCCCCGAGGCGATCCTCAAGGCCATCAGCTGGATAGAGAGGGTCGCGGAATGGGCGACCGAGTCGAGAGCTACCTCAGGCAGGATAGCGTGGGCGATCAAGGATACGGTCGTCGAGAGGCTATCCTGGAAGGCGCCCTGGACGCGGCGAGCCCCCCGATATCCTGCGGCTATCCTGGCTAGGTGGGAGCGCCTGGTCCTGGATACAACTGTGGCCGTCGGCTGGAGAGCTTGGGCCTGGGCTAAGCTCCTAAAGGTTTGGGGCAGCTTGCGATGGTCGGACCTCCAGGCTATGGTCCCAAACGAACTGGCTATGGTGGAAGGTCGGCTATCCACCATCCTGCGACGGACGAAAACCACCGGGGCTAACAGGCGCATACGGGAGCTACCTGTATGCATCTCGGAGAGAGCCTACTTCGAGGACCCTGGCTGGCTACAGGCGGGCTTCGACCTGCTAAAGAACCACGCGGGCTACCAGCGGGACTATCTCATGCCCAGGCTAGGCGAGAGAGGCGCCCTGGAGAAGAAGATGGCTACCGACGCAGATGCGATGGTGGCAACAGCGGGGCTACTGGCTATGGTGGGGATCCCGGCGGTTGCCCGTGGCTACTGGTCGGAGCACAGTGAGAGAGCAGTGCTACCCACCGGGCTGAGCCTAAAGCCGATCCCGCCGGCAGATAGAGATATGCTAGGACGCTGGAAGCCCGAGGGCTCGGATACCTACATCCGCTCCTATGGCGGAAGGGTCGCCTACGCAGAGGCGGCTAGAGCTCGGGACCGGGAAGAGCAGCTAGATGAGAGGGAGATTGCTGGCGACCTTGGAGGCTGGCTTTTCCGGACCGGCAAGGCTAGCGAGCAGGAAGCTGAGAAGCTGTCTGGAGAGCTGCGACGAGAGTGGGCTAGCGAGCGCATCGTGGAGATGGTGGCTGGTCCGGGGATACCTGAAGAAGTCGTGGCGAGCGATCCTCCCGAAGATAGACCCGACTCCTCGGCTAGTGAGCCGGAGCTGGGACCGGAACCCAACCGGAACCGGCCGAGGCAGCTCCTTAAGAAGGCTAGGTGCACGAGCTATATCATAGTTGAGCTTCCAGGGAAGAAGTACAGGCTACACAAGGGGGGCCAGGCCGGGTGCTGGATGGGCCGCCGTAGGATATTTAAGAACTCCCAAGAGTTTTCGGCGAGGCCCGAACCCAACCAGTACACGCATGTCTGTAGGCTATGCTGGCCGAAAGGCCGAGGCGAAGAGTCCCCGTCTGGTGATAGCGACACCTCTCAGGCTAGCACCGGCGACCAGAAGCCGGAACAAAGAAGATTTCGGAGAGGTCCCAGCAGCAGAGCTGCAGGGAGTACCTCCGGGGATAATACCCCAGTTGCCGATAGCTCCGTTGCCGGCTATTCCGTTCGGCTGGGGACCGCCTTTTGCCTGAAGGGATAGAAACGCCGGGAAAGCAGCGGGGCTGGACAACGGGGGGATACGTCCGGGGGGCCTCTCGGGATATACTCTTTCCTTCCCATCTCTCCGGGGGCGGCGGGCCCAGGGGGAGAAAGAAGGGGAGAGAAGAGAGGAGAGAGAGAGGAGAGAATCACGTTGTTGCACTTGCTGTCTTGTCTGCTGGCTAGGACGTAGGCTGCGAGGTTCTTAAGCAGGCTAGGCTGCATGCGCACATGTCCGGCTGAGTGTGCACTTGTGGGCTAGGGCACGGCACAAATGCACTTGCTGCGGCTACTGTGGCTAGGGTGGAGTAACGGACCACCAGCTTTTCTGGAGAGCCCACGCTAGGTGGGCGAGCCTGCGTGCCCTCGGGCCGGATAGCGGCACATGGCTACTGCCCCCAGCTGGGCAGACCAGACTGAGTCGGCTAGCGTCCAGGCGCAACGGATAGAAGTGCTACGCCTCTTAGAGGACTGGCTAGAGACTGACCCGGCTAGCTTGGCCGAGCAGATATACGATCGGCTGAGTCTGGATAAGCAGCACGAGCTTCTCCAGCTTAAAGGCTAGAGACATGAGGCTAGCCGAGTGCCAGGAGGGAGCTAGCATACAGCCTGGCGGCCGGCTATCTGCTAGGCTACTCAAGTTCCAAGGAGCTAAGTCTTGGGACGATATCTCAGCAGAGGATAGAGAAGAATCGGCAGCTGGCCGGGCTACGACCACACCGACCAGGGGAGACCCTGGAGGAGGATAGCGTCACGGATAACGAGCTGGCAGGGGGAGGCCCCGGAGGCTACCTGGTCTAGCGCCAGGCCGCCACCCGAACGGCTAGACATGCTACACGAGATGATGGCTAAGCTCAAGGAGCTAGAGGCGGAGGTCCGCGGCACGGCTACCCCTGTTGCCAGGCAAGAGGAGCCCCATCCTGGGGCAGAGGAGGCCAGCACAGGGGATAGCACAGCGGCGAGGCCCAAGAAGCCGGCTAGGGACCCGCCGACGGTCCAAGAGTCCAAGGCTAAGAACAAGCTGCGGCAGGGGAGTGCAGCGGATAAAGAAGAAACGGCTACCACCCTGCCGTTCTCGGCTGGGCTAGACCCGGCCCAGGTCGTCAATCCGGGTCCGGGGCTACAGCAGGCTAGGGCAGCCGCGGCAGAGACCACGGCTACACCGCTAAGGGCGAGTACAGAGTACCCCGCCCAGGGCGAAAGCTTGAAGCAGTTTCTGGCTAGATGCATGCAGGGCTACCGTGGCCCGCCTTCGGACGTCCGGCTAGGATGGAGGAGGTCTTCCGGATAGGCAGGATAGACAGCAGCAGCGGCGGCCAGGCAAGGGCGAGCCGGGATACGATCCCTTCCCGCCCTTGAGGCCGCAGGCTAAAAGCACCACCAAAGGACGCGGTGGGGATAGCGACCGTGGCTACATCCACCCGGATAGCAGCCACCCGCTGGAGGAGCGGGCCGATACAACGAGGCCCAGTGGGAGGCTATGGCCGGAGACGGCCGGATAGCTCCGGAGAGGCCCGCGCTCCAGCAGGGAGCGGCGGTGAACATCAACCTGGATAGGCCCACCGAACGGCTACTTCGCGAAGAACCCGATGTGGTGCACCGGATAATGGCGCCCCCGCCAGTGGCTAGTCAAGCCAAGGGGCGACCACTCGGCCCGGATAGCGGCATGATCGATCAGACCTGGCTATATGTTGCTAGGGCCCAGTGGCCCCTGGGGAGCTATGAGAAGGGCGGTCGCCAGGATAGAAGGCTATCGCAGTTGTCGGATAGAGGCCGCGATGTCAGCGGCAAGGGGGCGATACACGACCCCAACTGGATATACAAGCTAGAGGATGAGGACTTCATCGCGGTTAGCACCCGGTCCGGCTACGCAAAAGAGCTAACAGAAGCGATCCCGGAACAGGGATGGATACTGTGCAGGCCCCAAGGGGCTACCCCTGGGGTAGGCCGATGGGAGCCTGCCGGGGCTATCTTCAGATGTATAGTGGTCTGTGATCACTGTCGGCTAGAGCAGTGCAACAAAAGGATGTGGTACTGCCTGGATACGCACGGGGATAGAGGCCATACGTGCAATAGCTGCCGGCCCCCGTCCGGCGGCCCGGCTAAGGGAGCTGGCAGGGGCCGAAAAGGCCCGGGCTAAAGCACGGTCGTATGGCTAGATCTCCCAGACTTGCGGCTAGTGACGAAAATAGCGGATAGTGTGTGGACCTCGCGCTTTCACTTCATGTCGGCTAGTGCCTCCGTTTGCCAGAAAGAAGAGAGTGCCAGGCTAGGTTTTCCCAGGATACGTGAAACCTCGGAC